CAGATTTAGAGGCCATAATGAGAGATTCCTGCCAGCATTGATTACCGTGGCATCCAGGGGATTGACTGAGCAGGATGTAGGGAGGGGGGAACCTCCTCACCGGAGAACCGGTGCCATATACCTGCTGCTAAACATTAGTTCCGCACTCCCCCTACTATCCTAGAAATATATCTTGTAAACTGAGAAAGTAACTGAGGAATGGAGAAATTGTCTTGCAGGTACTATTGATGAAAGCTAATGCTTCCCTAATGGGGCCAGAATGTCTGCTGCTTGTCAAGGCGTATTTGATTGATGAAGATTGTCTGCCTGTTGCATGGGTCGTTGAAAGCTGTCTGCCTGATCACCCTCTGCTGCCCGGAAACAGATATACCTCCGTTCGCCTGGTGACCGTCAATGGGCTGCCTGAGTGTTATCACCTGTGAGTTCGCACTGCAGTACGAGAGAGACTTGTTCCTTTTACTCTCCCCCATACCAAGAAACTTCTACCAGGCTGTTTACTGGGGGGGGGAAGAATTCCGGGAAATCGCTGCTTGGCCGCATCGGGATTGAATCATCCAGGTTGGTCCAGTTGTTGAAAAGAAGCTTGTAGTCCCTGTTGACTGCCTGGTTACCCCCGTTTCCCTGTTGCCCCCCATTTCCCCCGGTCCATTCCACTTTCCCAATCCTCCCTCCAGTTTCCCACCCGAGCCAGCTTTTGCAGAAATCTTGTATCCTCTGTTGTATTTCGTTCTCAGTGTGAATGTGTTGGAGCTGTGACTTGGTTGCCTCCCATCTTGCTCTTATATTCGTATGAATCTGCTGTTGTATGCTCTCTGTAAATTCTGGCCCGTCCAGCCTCACCTCTTCCATTTCATATGTGCAGCGGCATCTCCAGAGCGCCCACAGCACTGCCCTCCGTCCTAGTTGAAAGAGGTTAAGGGTAAATTCGTCTCGCTGTTCAAAAGGCCATCTTTCGAATAACAAGGCCTTCCAATCCCAGGGCCATGGTGCCCCTGTTCCTAACTGATCCCACACCCTGTCCCACCAACGCCAAAGCCAGACCGCACCGGGGCATTGCAGAAAAATGTGTTCTATTGTTTCAGGTCTCTTCCTAGATGGGAATGCACTCAAGCATAGTTTGCACCAGGGGAGCGTGAGTCCCCTCTGTTCAAGAGTGGTCCTGTCTATCAACCAGTTATTGGTTGGTAGGCAGCGGTGTTCCATCTGCCATTGTAGGGAGGCGAGGTTCGCCGGTTTCGTTTTTGTTAGCTGGAACCATTTAACATTATTCAGTGCATTTTTACTAATATTCAAATGTTTCATCCATCTTGCTTCCACCTGGTCCTTGAGATTGATTTTGGGGCGAAGCAGTCTATATGCTGCTTTGACTGAGAGGTTATACAGCGTTTTGGTGCTGGTTTTGCCTCTGCCGATTGCGCTTGTCCATTCCCATTCGAGGGGGTCCAGGGGAAGAAGCGATATCGGCATGTCGGGGGAGAATGCCACCCATCCTTCCTTCGCCCGCAGCACCCTGATTCTGGAGAGGTCATCCTTTTCGAGGACCTGTTAATTCGAAGAAAATTATAATCTATACGTAAAGATCATCAAACCAAGTCAAAACCTAACCAATGATGACCAAGGATTGAATATGGCCCGATGAGATGGACTGAAATCAAGCACCACAAGAGAGGAAGAATTCACCAAACAAAGGGGATCAACACAGATGAGAGAAAAGGGGGGGGAGCGCGAGAGAAAACAGCCAAGAAGTCACCCCTGCCTCCCACCCCCCTAATCCACAGCCTTGCTTCTTCCTCCCGAATCCCATGGGAACAACTCATCATCCTTCCACCCGTCACCGCATCCCCAGATCAGCATCATCTCATACACGACAGAATTTTCATGCGAGAGGGCGGGAAAAAAACGAATAGCCCTCACCTTAGTAGTTGACCTATCGACAGATCTTGGTTAGACGTCAATTGTGTCGATCGTAGTGAGAAAGACAGTCATGACTGGAAATTGTATTTCAGATGTCATCGTCAGAATCGCGGTTGTTGTCATTGGAGAAATTGTTGATGTTGATGATGTCATTGCGGTTGGCGCTGTTGATGTAGATATAGTTGACGAGCTTATTGCTGGAAGTTGTTCAGATGTCGTCGTGAGAAGCGTTGTTGTTGTCATGAAGAAGATCGTTCATGTTGATTCTGTTGAAGATATCATTGTCGCTGTTGATATAGCTGCAGAGCTTATCGTTGTTGTTGGAGTTGTTGTGTGGATTGTTGGTGTATAATAGGATGTCCTCGTCATACCCGTTGTTAATGTTGTTGGAGTTATCTTTGGTGTTGATATCTTCAGCTCAACCGCTGTTGGCACTGATGAGATCTCGGTCGTTATTGTGTGTGTTGTTGCCGCCAAGGCTCCTTCGGCAGGTTTTCCGGCAGGACGTGTCATCAACTCAGCACACACCTTGTCCCCTTCTTCATAGAGCTCATAGCAATGGTTTATGAGTTCATCGGCCGTCTGCCAGTCAAGGAGATGTGCCCGTAGTTCGTCAGGCCCCTCCCTCTATCTCCCAAAGCACGTAGAGCATTTGTTGTAGCATGCCTTCCAGCCATGAGGTCATTGAGATTGCCCCCCGACCAACCTCTGACCCATCTTGAGCTGTGGAAGATAGAAGAAGTACCATCTCCTGCAATCGACAGCAGCCATCCTTCTTTTTTTTTTTTTTTTTTTTTTTTTTTTTTTTTTTTTGGAAAACAACCCGAGTAAATGGTAGGGGTGCTGATAAGACCAGACACCACTAGCATACTCGGGGAGGCTCCATCTATTGGTGGGGAGCAATACCTGCTGGAAACCGGGTCCAGCGTCCCTTGACATTTAGAATTGAGTGGTCTGTAAACAAACAGGGCTCAAGTTGACATGCCACGTGTCCATCGTACTAAAAACATGAGTGGTCAACTAAAGCGACACGTAGGCACACTCCATTGACTGATGAGCAGCATTGATTGCCCTCAATCGAGGAGATTAACTGCCCATGATAATCCAAATCAACTCCCTACTCTGAAACCCTCATCAACTGCCAACAAACCCTTGCAGCGCAATGAGGAGGAGAGGCATTCAGAATAGGAAGTTAGACAGTTAGAAAGTCAATTATAGCGGATCCCAAACCTACGGAGCAATGACTCGGATGTTTCGTCTTGTATTTTGTATTTGAGGGATGCTGGACCCGGTTTCCAGCAGGTGCCGCTCCCCACCAATAGATGGAGCAGCCCGGCAGACAAGTCCTCGATTCTGGTGGTTCTCTTACCGCCATCGGAATCGAGGGCATACACAAGGGCTCTTAAACCCCAAAAAAAGAAAAAAAAGAAAAAAAAAAATCATTACAAAGTCATTACCTACGCTGGATAGCCCTTGAGATACTAAATCAGAGAAGGTACTCAAGTCAGATGATATGCCAATTATAGCGCCCCCCTCTAGATAGCACAGATGGGTAAATGAGTCCTACCCTGCGACTTTCCCACCCAGATCCCACTGAAGGAGCGCAATGCTACCTCGCCGGCACAAACAGCTCATGAACTTGCAGAGAGTGATCCCCTCCCCAAAAGGCCAACCTCCACTGAATATGACAAAAATTGTGGAAGGAGCCCGCTGTACCCAGCGACCACTCCCATCCGAATCGCTGCTGTAAATGTTGACATCACAGCCGGCAAAATGGTCGTTATTATAGGTGGCGACGACCTGAATGACTTGGATGCGCAAGTCATCGCCATCATCACGAAGATCACAGTCATCGCCGTTATTGTTGTTGTTGTTGTTGATGTTGTTATTTTTGTCGCCGTTGCTGATGTTGTTGCTGATGTTGTTGTTGTCGTTGCTGCCGTTGTTGTTATCACCACAATCGTTGTTGTTGCTTTTGTCATTGTAGTTGTTGTTGTTGAGATCGACGGCGAAACAGGTGAGATTGTCATTGTCTTTGCAGTCGATGTTGGGGTTGATGCTGTTGGCGTCTTCCGTGGTGTCGTCATCGTCATCATAGTAGCGGTCCTCCAGCGTAGCGCAAAGACCTTGCCCCTCCTCAAGCTCATCGTAGTAATACCGCATCAAGTCGTTCTGTCGTGGAGAGCCTGTAATAGCATCCAGGTGGGGGGGTGGCCCCTCCTCCAACCCCATGTAACCTCCAGCAAACACTGCCGCATATTGTGAATCCACGAGATTGACGGTACTTTCCTTGCAGCAGCAGCCGATCTCAGCTTCGCCACCACCTGGCTTACACACTCCCTGCCCGCTTGAACAGTAGCAAGCCACGCGTGAACTCCTAGTTCCCGCGAACGCGCCATCACCAACCACCACTCAGTTCTCACCCCTACGTGTATTTCACCCCTCGTCACTCACCCCTACGCACACCTAGTTCTCGCCCTCCCAAGAGGTCCAACGATAACACGCCACTGGTGCACAATCGGTCAGTTCAGAGGCCACGTCAGATGACGAAGGCACCGTCCTGACGTGCCGCGTGAAGAGCAGGCCGGGTCGTGCCGGCCAGTCTCCAGCGGGGGACCAAGGTGCAAGCGGTCCGTAACGCAGCGCCGCCGATAAGCCCTGCAAAACCAAAAGCCAAGAATCCACAGCGTGTCGTAGATCCCCATTTGAAGCCATCTCCATCTCCTTTCGCCTTATCGAGTATTACCGCAAGAGTGCCCTCGCACTGCTGGTCCCGAGGTTAGTTCACCTCATTTTCGCTTCCTCCCTCGCACCGCACGAGCTATGAAACCGTCTGTGCCCTCCTCACCCGCCCCACCTTGCTCGGTCGTCGCAAAAGCTATGGCATCACCAACATGCTCAGCCAGTCCTCGGTAACTCCGAGGGCATTGGGTCGTGAGACCGCCGGGACCGCCGGGACCGCCGGCCGGTGCACTCCCCACGCGCTGGCGTCTTCGCTTGTTCTCCAGCCATGCACCTCATCACAAGCTGGTTAAGGCCAGGTTGTCGTAGAGGCTGGATACTAGGCATAAAACAGTCCCTTCTTAACTCCCTTGCGTGGGAGTCAATTTGTGTTTGGCACAGTCAAAGTGCCTGTGGCGATTTTGGAAGTTAATATTTAAGGAGACTCATGGTTGTTGTTCCGGTGGTGGTCCACTTTGCGGACCATTTTTTAATCCGGTTTTCTTAATTTTTTTTATAATGGACATATGTTCATTGTCTTCTCCAATGTGACCGTTCCCATGACATGCCTTCTGCTCCTTTGCTTTCCCCCAGGTTATGACTCATGTGTGCAATCCAACCTTGCTGACCTCCAATGCATTGGCGCCTTAATGTGAAGGACCTGTGGCCGCCCTATGGGCCATGTACCATTTTTTTTGTTTTTGTTTTAAGGCTACCACAAGGTTCCAGATTTGGAAAACATCCCCAGCCTACCTCTTCATTCCTATCCATACCAGTTCGGGTACACCAGACAATTGTCTGCAGGGGGGAAGGGACCAGCAAATTCAGAAGCAATGTCAGCAGGAAGGAGACATCTCTTATTTTTCTTTTGTTTTTTATGCTCCAATGATCCAATCGATTCGTGAGAAGCAGCACCTGCTGGAAACCGGGTCCAGCGTCCCTTGAATACATGACCCTGGCAATGTCTGGATGCATTTGAAAGATAAAAGGATAAAACTGTGTCTGAACGTCAGGCCACTGCCTATCGTTTAACCCTGGAGCCTCTTACATCAACTGTTGTGAAATCTGCAAAAGCTGTGTGAGGGTTGCCAGCTAGCTGTAAAGTCCCCCCCCTTCGCCGTACTCTGTGGTGAGGTCTAGTAGGATGGCCTTCCAGTCCCACAGCCAGCACGGTTCTGCTGTCAGCCATGTCCAGATCCTATCCCGCCATCTCCGTATAAGGACTGATGTGGGGCAGGAGAGGAGTAAGTGCTCTTCGGTGGGCCCATCGCTGTCAGCCTAACTCCCAGTGCTTTTATCGCTTCCTCCTTCTTTCGCCAGGTGACGCTCGGCTGCGCCGGGGGGGATGGTCACAGGAGTGGAGCCACCATCCTTTTGTCTCGATCCCCCAGTTGACTTTCATGTCAGTAGCCATGGAGAACAGGTGGACCGCTTCCTGTAGGGCCTTCATGCCCCTTTGTGTGGCGTAGCTTATGGTATCATTCACCAGCAGGATGTTATCCTGATTGTTTCTGTTGGGCATAAAGCCCGACTGATCCGGGTGGATGCGGACATGCATCAGCAGCAACAGCCTGTTGGTCGGTGACTTGGCAACCATTTTGTATGGGACAGGGAGGAGAGTGATTGGGTGGTAGTTGTGGGCCACTGGCCCATCAGTGCTCCAAAAGTGCTTTGCTTTTGGACGTCCCGGACATAGTGCATGGAGTCTTCGCAAACGTTTGGCCAGAAGAGTGCCCAAAATTCTTTTGGGCAGGAAAACGAGGCCCGGGGTTTTTCATCCTCCATTTGGGTGAGAGCTGACCTTGTTTCCTCTTCCGTTATGGGGGAGTTGACGACTTCCCACTGTGCCTGCATGAGGCAGGAAGAGATCGCCTTTGCAAGAGTGGATCTGGCGTTTGTGCGATCCTCTGGCCTCCACTGGTTTGATTGGGAGGTGAAGAGGTGCTTGTAATACTCCGTGGCGTATTCCACAACTTGACAGGTGTTGCGTGCAGTGGGTTTGTCGTTGTAAAAGGGGTGGCGCAAGGCTGCCACTGTGTTTTCGGGTGCTCTGGCCTTTGCTTTGGCAAAAAAACATTTTAGCCATTGTTCCGTCCGTCTAGTCTTTTTTATTTTGGCTTGGATTCGCCAGGCGTCGGCTTTCTTGTCCAGATTATCCTGAAGGAAGTCTCTGGCCGCGTGCAGTTTGTTAACAACCTCTGTGTCCAGTCGATTGTGGGCCAGTTGGTTGTCCCACTCTTCCATGTTGAGCATGAGGCGATCCTGAACTGCTTTGTGATCTGTAGCATGTTTGATAAAATGCTTTTTGGCTCTCTCCCTGAGCCCGGCGATCCCCTTGTTGAACCATTCTACTAAGCCCCCTTCGCTTGGCTTGCATGTCCTGCAGTAAGCCCAGAACTCCCTGACCATTGTCTCAAAGGAAGGGAGGGACATAAGAGATTAATTAAATTTGTACAAACCCGGGCCTCTCTTGATGTGGTCGTGGGAGGTGAGGCCTACGTCCATCATCCTGCGGTCGAAGGACTGAGAGGGGCTTATTGGGAGGATCTCGGCTGCAGAGAGGAGGCCTATAAGGTCGTGGATATGAGAGAGAGGTCTTCCTGCAATTCCCCTCAATCTTAGGCATGTGTAAGTCTTATGCGTTGGGTGAAGAGTTCTATAGGCATGCTCTAAGTAGTGGTCAACCATTATTTGGGACAGCATTAGAGCGTCCAGACCCGGCTCTGCATTACTGGGCCATGATTGCTGTGTGGAGGACTTTCTGTCTATTGCTGGGTCCATGGCGGTGTTGAAGTCTGCGAGCAGGAGCAGCGAAGCATCTTGCGGGAGCAGGTGTGATTTGGGACAGATTTAGAGCGTCCAGACCCGGCTCTGCATTACTGGGCCATGATTGCTGTGTGGACGACTTTCTGTCTATTGCTGGGTCCATGGCGGTGTTGAAGTCTGCGAGCAGGAGCAGCGAGGCATCTTGCGGGAGCAGGTGTGAGAGTTGGAGGAGAAACTCCATCCTCTGTGTCGGCTCACGCGGCGCATACACCGACAGCAGGTAGAATTCCTCTTCCCCTGCCCATACTCTTAAACACCAGAACTTAGCCCAGCTATCGATGCCGAGCCCGGAATGCCCCTGCACAGCAATTTTTGCCGGGGTACTGTTTCAATTTTTTTTTGGCTGGCACTTCCAGCCATTGTGGTCCGATACCCCGAAGCCGTAAAGGCGCGGCACGTTAATGGGGAAGCGCCGCAGGCCCGCGGCCGATAACTGGGCCAAGTACTGGTGGTCTAACCAGATCCATCTGCCGTGTTGCTTGTCCCAGTCCGCAAGGAGCGGCTCAAGTTTCGATGGCCATCAAAAACAGTCAGTGGTGGTTTTTTTTCCCGTCTCTTTTCCCTTCTTTTTATGCTTTCCTTCATTTGTAGTGAATTGCTACCGCTGTGTTCGAGAAGTAATGGTTCACACTCTTCTTGATTTAGGGCATACCATATTGTCATTAACGAACGCCGTAGCGGATCTTTCTGCATATACCCCCAGACTTTGTTCCTAAGTGAGTCACGTGGAAGGCGAATTGAGTGAGACAGGATTTTTCAATATCTATCTTCTAACCAGCTCAAGGATCGAAGCTCGACCAGGGTACTGGGAACCAATCTTCGCAGTTGTTAGAGAGCAAGTGGGGACCAGGCGGCCTCGGGTTCCAAAGAGTAACTTGATAATCCATTTTTGAGAGAGGGCTTCCAACTGCGTAGCTGGGCCAAGGATTGTCAGCGTCCCCGCGCCGCCCCCCCACCCTCTTGATTTGGGTTGTGTGTTGGAGTTCCATTCCACTTGATTAATGGCTTTCCTCTCATTCACATTATTCCTCCATAAATATGTGGCTATGTGCTTTTTCAGGGAGGATAGTGCTGCTTTTGAAGGGGTCAAAAGGGACCCACAAGACAACCTTAATACCATAGGGCACCCAATAAAGAGTTGGTAATTACTGCTACTCTCCCAATTTGAAAGAAGTGTTTGCTCGCGAGGCCGGGTGGAGGCACCAGTGGTAATTATCTAAGGGTTTCCCTTACAGGGCTATCGTCACTCCCAATCGCCTGGTTGCCTCCTCCAATGGCAGCCATTTGTCCATAATGATTGGAGTGTTCAGACTCTTCAGAGGCTTTACACCTTGATGATTGATCCACCACCCCAAAGTCTTACTCCCCAAGTTTATTGTCATGTCTGACAGGTGCCAAAATTTACATGGTAGTTCCAGATTTGTCTGTCAGTCTATTAAGACGAATAAAACAAGGGATAATTTGCAATATTCCCCAATGATGAGATATATGCTAAAATACCCACAAGGGACAAGGGTAGAGCAGAGTGCCCTTCTGGCCCAAAATCTTCGTGATATGCCCCTGTCAGGCAGGCGAGGGAATTCGCACTCTGCCCCACCCCATATGGCAGTGCCTGCATTTTTTTTACCCAGTTTCCCCCCTACCAAGTGGGGAACTTTGCGAAATGGCCCAGGCTATTCGCTCATCAACATGGAGAAATAAGAGAACTGGCGTCAAAACTAGTACACTGCCAAATTATATTAAGAGAGAGAGAGAGAGAGAGAGAGAGAGAGAGAGAGAGAGAGAGAGAGAGAGCTACCACGTGAGCACGCATGGGCTTGCAGCATGCAAGAGAGAGTTGTGCCTCTCTCTCTCGCTATCACGCGTGAGTCAGAGAGTGGGAGAGTGAGAGGGACAGCCATGGTGCTTCCTCTCTCTCGCTGTCTACAGCGCATGCGCCGCTGCTGCGCGCCATAGTACACCTCCCACATACTGGGATGGGTGAGAGAGAGAGAGAGAGAGAGAGAGAGAGAGAGAGAGAGAGAGAGAGAGAGAGAGAGTTTTCAATAGGTCGTACGATAATCGTGCGAGCGCCGGCTGCGGCTTGCCTTCTCGCCACCCATCCTCGGCATGGAATCCAAGCCTCTCTTCTCGCTTGTCCCGCTAAGCTCTCCTACCGTTACCCTTACCCCGACAATTGCGGGAAAGCTGACAACCTTTCCTCCACCTTACGGCACCACCCCCCTCTGTAAATGTCTCCCTTTCCTTCCCCCTCCAACTCTCCGTCATCCTCATTGCCATGTCAATATCTTATACGCCAAAGATCAGTTTCAGTGAGAGCTAACTTGAAGAACCCCCCCGTGGAGTACCCACATGGTATCAATGAAATGTTAGCCCAGCAGTTCACCGGCGAGAATGACGAGGAACTACCCCATGAGCGACCCATGAGGGGATCATACGCTTCGCTTCCATATCTACGCTCCCACATCTTACCCATTTTCCGTTCCTACTTCCCTGATTATTATCTTATGTTCTCGCCTCCTATTTTGATGATTGCATGACGCATACTATGGATATCTCGAAGTTAGCCCCTCGATACTTCAAGGTGCACGTGTAGTTGCAAATGTTTTTCTCTCCCTCCGATGAGCTATTGAAAGTGGTTGTTCGGCGGAAAACATGTTTCAGGCAATAACCCACGCTCCCTACTTTTGTCGGCCTATCCTGCTTGTGGTAACTATGCCGGATGGAAGTCTATGGGGCAATGTCCGCCGTATGCTATGTGATTGTCGACATCAGACTATATGATTTGCGTGTTCTCTTTCCCTCTTCACAGACTTCACATGCTCACTTTTGCAATGTTCAATTGCTGTGCTTGTACTGAGCACCTGTGCGTCCTTATCGTCCCGTGAAATTTATTGGCTCCTAGGATTTGATGACGGAAGCCCATCACGATTAATCCCGCACATTTTGGAAGAGGGCTACGTTTCATAAGGATAAATATTCAATAAGCTCAAGTTAGTCAAACGCAAGTCAACTTTGGAGACTTCCATTACTACACAGGCCGTAGCGAAATCTCCGCCAACGCTGCCTGTGTTTTACGTATGATTTTCTTTATTAACAGGAGAATCATACTGATCATGTAAAACAAAGACCTCCGCCTGTTTGCTTTTCGACCAGTTAGTGTGGTGTGTTTCACTGAGGTCTGACGCGATGGCTTTGCAGTTTTCAATGTATGGAGGATCCTAAATCTAAAAAAAAAAAGAAAAAAAAAAAAAGAAAAAAAAGAGGACCGTAATCTACATAACGTGATGAGCATAGTTGTATGGAGTTCAGTTGTGGGACACGTGTGTGTGACCTATCTGCTGTCGAAGTCATCCACATGCGAACAAAGCGGCCATGGAGGTTGCTCGCATTGTGTCGCCCCACATTGGCCACTTCCTTTACCGACTCAATAAAGCTCGACATGATGCGCTATGGTAATTTCCCAGACAAGGAGTTTGCTTGTGGTTATTCCGCGCGGCAAATTTTTGAAGGCAGCAGTTGCGACGTTATGTTTTGGAAACTTGATCATGATGTCCGATTGTCGAGAGAAGTCCACCTGGAGATCCATCTGTCTTTGTGCTTATGCTTACGCGGAATGGAGGAAGAAGGTTGAGGTGAAAAAGGGGCGTCTTGCTGTACTGAGGAGATCATGTGCCGGCTTTTGAGAGGCGCTGTGTTCAGGGACACTGGATGAAGCCTTCCCAAGAGTGTTAGTGGTGCCTGCTCTTATCAGCACCCCTAGCATTCACTCGGGTTGTTTATTAAAAAAGAAAAAAGGAAAAAGAAAAAAAAGGATGTGTTCATGCTTGGTCTCTCCTACTCGGGTTGCTGCTAGTTTTTTTTTTTTTCTTCGGAGATTTTCTTCTTCCGAGCGTTCGCATTCTGAATGTTGAAAAACTGTGCGCTTCGTGCATTCCATCGGGTATCGGGGCTCAAACACGTCAAACAGTACGAGTAATCGTCGGTACACGAGGAGTGGGCCTTACCTGGCCGACGAGGAGTTGGTGCATCGTGAAGAGTTTCTTTTTTTTCTTTTTCTTTTTTTTTTGCCGTACCCGCATCGTATTGTTTGTGATGATTGGAGGCAAAATTTCGCCGACTGATGAGGTTGCTTCGAGCATGGTAAAGAGCTTCTTTGATTTGGTGAAGCGTTGACTGGGCCTTGATTGGGCGCTGTGCGCTGTATTTATGCACTTTTTTTTATGTTCAATTATCATTGCTGCCTACTGCCCATCTGCGTGCCTCGTCTTTCCGCTCTCCATGATCAATTTTGCTTGTCCCGCCACGTTCGCAGCGCCACTCTGTGCTTCATTGTGTTGTTGCCTTGCTTCCCGTCCGCTTGCACTGTTGATCTGTGCAGTTCAGTTGCCCCCATAGCTTTGCCTTGTGCTTCGCTGATTCGTTGCCTTACTGCCGGATTATGCCTTGCGGTGTTGTTTGTGGGTCATCCCCTTTCAGCAAGACAAGGGCTCATGACCCAAAACCATAAATACAGGGATTCTGCAGATTGTCGAGGGCTCAGCCTTCTGATGAGTCAGTGCAAGTCCAATGAAACCGTCTGTCATCATCAGTTTTTATTTATTTTCGCTCTCTGTCTTTTTGTCGATAGTCCTACTTCTCTTGTCTGTTGCCTTGCTGCATTTGGGCTGCCTTCTTTTTTCCTTGCTGCATTGCGCTGTTTACTTCTCTTGTCTGTTGCCTTGCTGCATTTGGGCTGGCTTCTTTTTTCCTTGCTGCATTGCGCTGTTTGTCTGCCCACCCACCTCCCCCGTGCCCTCCAGTGCATGTGCCTTGCTGCCACTCATTGTCGTTGCCTCTCCCTTGCCTCACTGCCATTTGCCTTCTCCACAGCTTGTGTGTTTGTCTGCTCACCAAACCTGACAGGTACCCAATAGGGGTGTATCTCAAAGACGATGGGTCCAATCGACATGGGGGGTATTTCTCAAACTCTCAAAATGTCCAAGGGGTATTCCACTCTACCCACAGCTTTGAAGGGTGTTTCGTAAATTTAGTGTGTACCTGAACTTTCGGAGCTATTTCACAAATTTTCCCAAAAAGAACAAAACAAGGGAAAATTGTTGAAACACCCCTAATAGTTTGGGTATTTTGTCATACACCCCTAAAACATGGGTACGCTGCAATACTCCAAAATTCTGCACCTGCCCCCCTCCCACTCGTTGGCAATTTTGCCATTTGCCCTGGCCCTGGGCTGCAGGGGCCAGCGCACTTCTCCTGTCATCTGCAGGGTCCAACGGCCTAAAATACCAGGGCGTATAGACAAGTTGCCCAGGGCCCAGTGGGGGTATATGCAAAAGATGACAGGTCCAATTGGAGAGTAGGGTATTCCGCAAAGTTTCACTACTGTCATAGGGGCATGTCGCCATACCCAAGACTTTTAGGGGTATTTGACGAAATCGTCCACCAACTTTCAGCGGCATTTCAACAATTTCCCCAAAAGAAAAATAACACACCACTGTAGCCTCCACCCCCCCCCCC